AAAAAAAAAAACAACCCTACAGCTATTTGTAAAAAAAAAATATCTAATCTGTAAGGAAGTGGACTTCATACCTTGGCAGTGCCTGGGACTTGGAGGTAGGCCATCTTGGTGGCTGGGTCTACAACAAAGCCACCTTGTTTCGTCCCACTGGGATCCCAGAGAAGAATTTGAGGAGCTTGTGTTGTCCAGGTGACAAGAAATAAAGTGTCCTTCCCCACTGTGCTGTCCACAATGACCGAGCCATTCATCCACTGGTCCTTCTGGAGATTGGCTCCCCTGCTCTCCAGCTGTTGAGCAGAGAGAGACTTCACATCCCAGACAATACGGCATGCATCTCACAGTCTTAGTACCAGGTCCTCATTGCTAGGAGCCAGCTAAATGGCCTGTACGCGTTCTTGAGTCCTTTGTGTGGTATTTAGGGTCATTTAAGATTCAGCTGTAAATTACTGTTCTACCTTCAAGGTCCCATACTTCTTTCTCCAACAAAAAGACTACCTCCCTCTCTGGGTTTACAAAGCCCCAAATTCACACTCTCTGCTTGTCCTTGACGTCATGACTTTCTCTCTGCTTGTCTGAGTTTTAACTAAAGCCCAGAGGAGTGTAGAACTCAAAGTGTCTAGTAGCCTTGTCTGTGATTATAAGCAGACACAAGAAGCCAAATAGTAAGAATCCCAACCTGGATGGAGCGCTGAGAGGCAGCTCCATTTCCTGATGAAAGGGCTGCGAAAGCATCAACAAGGCCGTTGTTCTGAGCCTGATCAGAAGCATACGTCTGCAAACCTCCTAAAACGCAATTATGTTATATTTCAGGAAGCAGGTATTTACAACATTGCAGCCATAGCTAAAATAGCAGGATAGATAATACAGATCAATATCAAATATATGTGCACACTAACTTAGAAGTCAATACTGATATGTGTATGTGTGTGTGTGTGTTCGTATGTTCGAGACATAGTCTCTTGAAGCTCAAGCCAGCTTCAAATTCACTATTTATCCAAGAATGACCTTTACAGCAGATTCTCCTACCCCTACCTCTCAACCACTGGGACTACAGGTCTATAACACTGCGCCCCATTGATACCGACTTTGCAATTTTAGCAATGAATAGCTTCAGAAACTATTGAATAGCTTCAGATAATTGAAGCTGCTTCAATTATCTGCACAAATCTCCAAGAGTATCTCCATCTTAAAGGCCATGTGCTTTCACATGAGAGTCTATTAAACCATAGATAGACCCCTCTGATTGGCTTACCATTATTGAAATGCAATTCTAACAAACTGGGTTTTAACTTGTATTTCAAATCCAGAGAGATACGTGTGTGACTATCAAGAATAACAGGGAGGGCTGGAGAGATGGCTCAGCGGTTAAGAGCATTGCCTGCTCTTCCAAAGCTCCTGAGTTCAATTCCCAGCAACCACATGGTGGCTCACAACCATCTGTAATGAGGTCTGGTGCCCTCTTCTGGCCTGCAGGCATACAAGCAGACAGAATACTGTATAAATAATAAATAAATAAATACTTTAAAAAAAAGAATAACAGGGAGCAAAGGGGCTGTTACAGAAAATTGAGATGTGTAGAAAAAGAAAAATAATACTCCAGCCCTGAAAGTTTGGGTACAAAGGACTGGATAGGAAACTGTTCCTAACTAATTTTTATATTTTTGTATTTGTGTGTGCATGTGTCGCCTTGTGTGTGAAGATCAGAAGATGGTTTGTGGCAGTTGGTTCTCTACAGTGAATTCAGGGTGTGAGTTAGCAGCAAGCTCTTTAGCCCATGGAATCATCTTGGGCAGTCACTTTTAGGCTATTAGAGAGCATCCAAAGTTAGGGGCAATGTTTTAGAGTGTTTCTGAGGTCCCCTTGTGTCCTCTTGCAGGTAAGTGCAAGTTTGCCTAGCTCTAAGGTTTAACTACCCATGACTAGTTCTGCAGGGGATTGCTTTACACCAGCACCATTTTACACCCACACAAAAAAGATTCTTATGTCTGCTTTAACAATAAAATGCCATTGATTGATACAAATGGGAGTCCTCTTATTTCAAGGGAGGACCCAGTTTGTTTTGTGTGTCTGGCCCTGAGGCCCCTTGACTGCAGTGAGGCTAGACTGTAAATCTGCTTCCATCCTTTGCCTGCTTCATGCTCTGTCTGTCCTCCATTTCTTTCCCTTTGAGAACCCTCCCTCTATAATCACAGGTATCCAACCCTCCATCTCAGGCCCTGCTTCTAGGGAACGTGAGCAGATATAAGAGGCTCCAACAGTAATAATTTGTGTTTCTAATACTATCCCTAAATAAAAGAAAACGTTCACCTTTCCTGCTAAAGAAGCCATAGTCAGAGGAGACCTCTCTGAATCACGTTTGTGTGTGGGACTTGGATACACAACACACTGATCTTCTGTGGAGAAACTGCCTGTGCACTGTGTGATTGACCCAGCCTTCTGCATTGTTCACGGGCTCTTCACCTCTTCCCTCCTTCTCCTTCCTGTCTTTCTCAGGTAAAGTTAAATACTTATAAGGTATCTGGGAAGGGCTCCCCGAGTGGTCACGAAGGTGTAACACAATCATACTTTCTGTAGTTTGGCCTAGTCCTGGGACCAAGACCTTAAAGAGAATGGGTGGGTTCACTTCTAATGGCCATTTGGGAGAAGCGTAGCTGTTGGCTGAGACGACTCTATGTCTTCTTATTTTTTTCCCCCCCGGACTCCCCAGATCACTGGAGCCCAGGGTCGGCCGCGCAAACACTGGTGGGTCTCGGCAGAGCTCCCCTCACCTGTCATTGTGGACAGCTGCTCGAGCTCTTTAGCAGCAGCCGGGCCCAGGGCCACCGTGTGGATGATGGCTCCACTCCTCTTCACCAGGTCAAAGCAGGCGCCGATGTTGTTGTCCTCGCCGTCCGTCAGCAGCACGATTTCAGATCCATCGGTTGGATACTTCTTCTTAATCACCTAAGGGAATGATTAAGAGCAGGAATCAGTCTTGGGGTGGGCAGGGGGTTTGTGGGAACTGCATTTACACGGGACAGGAAGGAACAACTGCAGAAGGAACATGTGCAGGGCTGGAGGAGCATCTGTCTTGCAGAGATACTGCGGTAGCGCTTCAACATCATGGACATCAACAGTGACTTCTTGTTAGCCTGCACAGCTGTGCAATGCAGGGTAGCCCTGGTTCTGGCGGTTCTGGGGAAGGACACAGGGGTTTTGAGTTTCCTTCATCTGATCTCTCCCTGAGAAGCTTCAAGAGATTCCAAGATGCCTTCAGAAAGCATCAGCAACCAGCTGAGGGATAGTGGACCCCAATGACATTGGAACTTTAGCTTTGTACTCTCTGACAATATCAACTGCATGCTGGTGGCCATAGATTCTGACTGGACAGTGTTACCCAGATCACAGAGGTAGCTACCTATCCTTTACTATCCCTTCCAATTAAAGCAAACACTTTGTTCTCGCTCTCTCTGACACATACACACACACACACACACACACACACACACACACACACACCTTTTGTTTGCTTTTTGAAACAGGGTCTCACGTAGCCTACACAGGCATCAAGCTCCCTGTGCAGACAAGGATGACCTTGATGTATTGACCCTCCCACTCCTATCTCCAAAGTGATTCCTACAATTGTGTACCTAGATACACTTTTAATAGCATACAGAGGACAGTCCATCTGCCAATGTAAAAAAGATTATGATGGAAAGAAAATGAAATAAAGTCACTTCTTATCCATTTAAGAAGACCAGACTCTACACATCACTGAAATGATAGAGAGAGACCAACACGCAGGACAAAGAGTCAAGGTCAAGCAAGTCCTGCGGCCCCAGTTCTCTGGATGAGATTGTGTGGCCAGAAGGCTGGAGGGGAAGATGCAGGCACAGGAGACTTCTCCCCACTGCGTTCTCTGAGTGCTGACAGTGGGCCACCACACAAGGTGACTTTGATGTATTAGAAGGGAGTGGACTGTGTGGACTGAGACTGTGGACACCGGAAAGAGTCTCAGAGCTGTGGTCTTAACCTTGGTCTGACCGAAGTGCTTCTGGTACTAGGAAGTAAGATCGATGGCTCAGTTTGGATCCCTTTGTTTAATTTCTCATGATTACTGTGTGTTGTGGAGTTTCCATGGTTCAACTCAGGGAGACAAAGGTAACTGAGTTGAACCATCAGGTAAGAGCAGGTGGCTCTGCCATAAAGTACGAGAATGGGTAACCTAGTAGAGCTGGGCGGAGGAGGCACACCAGACGTCTTCTGAGTAGTGGTCTGCATGCCTCCTCGTGCAGAAAAGGACGGAAGCATGAAGAATTAGTGAGTTAGAGGTCTGTATTTTTGCACTGTTTGACCATTGCTTTAGCCTTGGTTATATACTCCTATTTGACACCAGCCTTGTATGGAAACACCAGAAATGAAATTTTCACAGAAGCAAAAAATCCCAAACAGTTGCAAACTACCATAGTGGAACACGCCTTACTGTAAAGGCTGCTTGAAGCCCAGAGCATATAGATGTCCCTCCTGCAGGTACTGTGGGTAAGCTTTTGGTCAGCAGGTCTCTGTCAGCAGCACTTTTTATCTGTTTGAGTTCGCTTTTTACGTAGGCCGCGCTGTCAAATGTCACCATCCCGACCCAGGATCCCTGCTCCACGGTCTGGAGCAGGAAAAGCTGGCTTGCCTGATTAAGACGGTTAAGGCGGTCATCATCCTGAGGAGCAAGCAAATAAAAGGGGTCAAGCTGGCGCTTACACCAACCGGCTACCAGCAGACCAGGCTAAGGTGCGTCTGGAAGTGACTGCCCAGGTTAAGACTATAATTAAGCTGTATCCTCTTATGGGGCCTAGCATCCACTTTGGGTAAAATTTTAGAGTGTTTGCATAAAGAGCAAAAGACAAAAAACTGTATTAGGCAATCACTGGAACAGAATGCATTCGCATTAGTAATAGGTTTAAGGAAGGCTTATATGGAACTCTAGACCTATGTGTGTTAGTAAAATATGAACTGTATTAAGCTTATTATTCAGATCTTTGCTCATAAGTTGACATCAGTTTAATTTGACAAAGGGGACAGTTGATACTGAGTCTGTGGAATGAGGCAATGTAAACTCTGTGTCTCTGTGTGTGTGCATGCATGCTTGCTTGAATGTGTGTGTGTGTGCGTGCATGCACGCACGTGTGTGCGTGTACTTCTGCACTTCTCCCCGCCTGGAGCTCACTGGTCTAAGAGCCACAGGGATTTGCCTATCTCTACCTACCCAGCGCTGGACCACAAGGAAGTTTTGGGCCTTGAACTCATGTCCTTGTGTTTGCAAGACAAGCTCTTTGTCAGCTGGGCTCTAGCTCCAGCCAAAGACGAGTATTTCTGATGACAAAGCTGTTGCTGGTCTTTGGCCCTCCTGTTGTGTTTACTCTCTACCAAGTCCAAATTGTGGGCCGGATTGTATTGCACACACACCTATGATCCACATCCCCCAAAGGAAGGCTCAGTGAACGTACTATCATGCTCCCAGACTTATCCAGAACTAGACACAGAATTCTCTGTGCAATCTGCAGCAGAGAGAAGGTGGGTGTGGGTGGCTGAGTCGTCATGGGCGTGCTCTGCCGAAAGTCCTCAGAGCCCTGGATCACTTCCCACGTGCTGCGGAGATTGCACTGTTGGTTCTGGGCATTTGGGGCTTCCTTGTTGTGGTTTTTTTCTGTACAGAATTCAACAACCTGAAATTGCCAATTCAATAATACATATAACATTAATAGACTTGTTTAAAATATCTAACAAAATAACCCCCGTGTGTCCTCACCCCAGGCTCCTCTGCTACCTTATAGCCATGACTCAGTGTCACAATGGCACTCGGCGCTCCCGGGGAAACCCAGTCTGAAGTCTGTTTCCACCCTCGTCTTTAGTGTGTCACGGGACCTCAGTGAACAACCCGCCTGCTCCAAGGTGGCTTCCCTTATTCTTCTGATTTTCTACCCACGACATCGCCCCTTTGCACACCACACTTTGCAGTATTCCTCTCACTGTCCAGTCATCTCTCCAGTTTCAGACAACCGGACTCCACGTCTGTACTTCCTGAACCCCATTAACCAACATGCTGCATTCAACCTTGAACGTGTATCATTCCAGCTCTCTCTAAAATCTACCTGGAGATCTGCTTTCTCAAACGCCCCGCCTTTATAATGACGTCATCACTTCCCGCTGGCGCTTTCTCACCATCTCTGCCCGAACCCTGTCACCCAGCTCCAGGAATCAGGAAGTTGCTGGGCAAAATAACCAAGGTCTGGACGTTTCTTCCTACTAATAGTTCATAATCCTCCTCCACCAACCCCATTTCAATGAAATCTCTGTCACCCGAGTCCTCGTGGTCTTCCTTTACACTGTAGCCTGACAAACCTGGCTTTTCCACGTGGCTGTTTCTCCAGTTTGTTCTCCCCACAGTGTTTGAGAACTCTTCCCTTTACTCTGATATATCAGACTTTTATATTTATATCGCATGTGGTGTTCTTCGTGTGCTGTGTGTACAGATATGTGTGTGGGTGCACATGCAAGCCTGTTCATGTGGAGGTCTGAGGTCAGTGTTAGATGTCTTCCCTCAGTCACCCTCCACCCTCAGTTTCTGAGACAGGATTTCCCAGTGAATCTGAAATCTGTCTATTTATAAAACTGGCAGGCAGTGACCTTCAGTGATTACCTGTCTGCATCTCTCAGTGCGGCCCCCTAGGCTTTTGCATAGGTTCTGGGGATCTGAACTCAGGTTCTCTCTGCTTGATCAGCAGGCACTTTACCACCGAGTGGTGTCTCTGTAGCCCTCCGAGACCCTCTGTGTGGTCGACTATTATTCAAGCCTTGTGGCTTCTCACACCAAACACAGTCACAAAACCTAATGTAGATTTCCCCCTTCACTCCTCACCTTCCTGCTCTCTCCTGTTGGTCTTCAGGCTTCTTCACCCCTATCCCTTTGTTCCTGATTCTTTACCAAGGAGAGCCTTCTCTATCACCTGCTTTTTTTTAAAAAATTTATTTTAGAGGCAGGGTTTCTTCATAGTTTTTGGTACCTGTCCTATAACTAGCTGGTGTAGACCAGGCTGGCCTCGAACTCACAGAGATCCGCCTGCCTCTGCAGGCCTGCACCACCACTATCCGGCTATCTCCTGCTTCTTGAACCTGCCTCCTTTTACTCCTTTTCCTCATCTTCTATCCTGCTAGAGAATGTCCGTCCTTCAGTCCTCTGTGGTCTTACAGTTCAATGGACAGATGGACAGATGTCGGCAGACTCCTTTGCAATCCAACCATGGCACATTAATTTCGCTTCCTCCAGATATGGCTCTGTGTGACACACAGCAAGAGTTCTGTAGGTTTGTCTTCTGCAATAAGATTATCCTAAAGAGAATCGATTTCCCCCCCCCCCTCAAGCTGGTAGTCTCTCTAAAACTTGATTCTCCCTTGGAGCACCTGGGCAAAACCAAAACCAAACTGCCTCCTCTACATTCATAGAAACACTGGGGGAAGAACACGGCACTTACAGAATCAATAGTTTGAGAGTACATTATGGATGCCTTCTCGACTTGTTGTTTGTCTGGTAAGAACACACAGTCTTTTCCATAGAGTCCGGTTACTTTGTCTATTCTGCAGGTTCCTTTATTGACACAACTGCCTCCCTGGCACCAACGGACTACATTTTTCCCGGTGATAGCTGCTGAACATCTGAAAGAGACATTAAGGTTAAATGCTTAGGCAATGGGTCCATAACACACCTGAAATTTGTAAGACTTTTTTTTATTGAACCAAGAAGAAATTACATATCTTCATATAATAAAAGCACTAAGTTTACACCAGACATTTATGTGGCCAGAAAGTACCTGGGGAGCCTCAAGAATAGTGCCTTGATAGCCTGAGTTAGGCCAGAGTTCTCAGGCTCCTCCAATCCTGTCTCCTCGTGCTAAAACATCGAGAGTCCTCTTAGCTTCCTCGCAGGACTTGGACATTGTCCCTGTGCTACTTACTTGTCCTAATTGTTTATTCCAATCAGTTTTTGTACAGCTCTTGTGTGCTCATTGACATTTAATTTCTTATTTGTTTATGGGGTCCATTATAAATTATAAATGGAATGCTTTCCCCTATACTTCATTTTAAAATTACAGATTTGAGTACATAAAATAATAAAAACATAAAAGCATAAAAGAATATTTGAACACTCATAAAAACTAAAGGGAAGAGAAAAACACGTTTTGTCATCAGAATTAAATGAGTGCTGGCTTGTTGAAAGGTTTTCCGAGTGTCAGCAGGGCAGTGCTTTGTTTTCTGATTCATGAACTTACTGAGGTGGCATATTTAAAATCTCAATACATTGATATGTAGCACATTTTTGCATAGTGTAATTTTATTGATTTTTTTCTCTTTTGACATTATATGAATTCACCCTAACTTACTAAATTTACTTTTTCTGTTAATTTTTCAATACCCCAAAAATAAAATGTGTAAAAATAAGCACATGAAAATTTGACCATATTTTAAAAATCTGTTGATATGGCTTGTCTATCATTTCCTTAAAATGGATTTTTAAACATGAAATTAGTTGCTTGAGAAACGGGGGGAAATGAGAGCTCTGATACATGTTATGTCTTCTTTCCATTGCATATTCTTCTTTGAGTGCTTCACTCATTTCCAGGTTTTTGTTTTTGTCCCCCTGCCCCCGCCCTCTTAGACAAAGACTCTCCTGTCCCAGGCTTGTCTCAGACCGGCTCTGTAGTTGACCATGGCTTTGAATCCTGGCCCTCCTGCTCCCAGCTCCAGCATGCTGTGATTACAGGTGTCTGCCATCCCACCTGCTCCGAATGTTCTTAAAGTTCCACAGTCAGGGCTATGGTTCCAAAAGCTTGGATTGTTCTGCTTCTGTGAGCATATTTCTTTTTTTTTTTTCTGTTTCCCTTTTCACCCTGTTTAGTTCATGTAAAACAAAAAATTTATGGGCAGTTACATTTTTTTACCTTATTCTTTAGTTATGCCTTTCTCAGGTTTTGTTTTTTGAGGCAGGGCTTTGCTGTGTAGACCAGACTAGCCTTGAATTCATATCCTTTTGCCTCAGCCTCCTGAGTGCTGAAATTATAGCTGCATATCACTGCAACCATCTATTATTTTAATTCTTAAGTGCACAGAAAAACTTTCACTACATAGAGATGTGAACATATAGAAAGATTTTTACTACCTGTAGATATAATCTTAATATTTATTAACTTGTTATGCATTAAAATTAATAATTTACATTTGTAGATTTTAGTACATAGATATGTATAATTTGTATTGTGTGTTTTTCAATTTGACAAGTTTATCCAATTGTAAGAGATTCTGTTAGTTTTTCCCATAGTTAGAAATTTTCCTTATATCTTAAGAAATTTTACCTCTCCTTATCTATTTTTCAAACTCTGTTAAGTTACTTTGTATATAAATTTCTGTGGATATACATTATTATATTTAATTCAGTCTTGAAGTGTATTTAAAATTGACAAATAAAGGTTCCTTTATTATGATCCTTTTCCAGAAATAATCTCACCGAATGATTGCTAGAATTTTTGAATAAGATACAATTTTTTCTAGAATTTTATAAATTAATAAATCAATTTTTGTTGAATTTATACTTTTCGTGTATTGAAATCCTCTCTGCCTTTGTTTTCTTTTAAGTCATTTAGAATTATTTTGTAGTTTTATTCAGATTAATCTTGAGCATTTCTTCCTGCATTTTCCATTGAAAACACTTCAGTGAAGTGTTTTTTTCCACTATATTTTTGAATGAGTTATTGCTAACACATGGAAAAGCTCCTGGAGCATTCCCTTTGTATCTTGTCCCTGTGTTGATGTTTCTTACAACCTAAACTATTCACTTTACTTTCTTGGGTTTTCTAAGTAGAACACTCGTTTGTGTAAGTGCCATCTTCTGTCTTCCCCTCTGGTAGCCTTGTTTTGTTCTGCCTCCGTTTTGTGTGCTACTGAATCGGATACAACTTCCTGAGTAAACAGAGACAACTGTGATCATAGAGGCCACCTTCGTCTTCTTGCTGGGACTGTCCCTACCATTTCTCCATTAAATATAGTACAGTCTTTCGGGTCACATAAATATTCTGTAGTGTATGAAAAGAGTAACTTCCTACAGCTATCATGCTTGCATTAGTTCTAGGCCTACACATACTTTAAACATTTGTCTGGAAGACAAGGGACAATGAATATTACTAATATAGATAAAGGTAGGTTTGCTTGTTTTTTGTTTTTGTTTTTGTTTGTTTTTTTTTGAGACAGGGTTTCTCTGTATAACAGCTCTAGCTGTCCTGGAACTCATTTTGTAGACCAGATTGGCCTTGAACTTACAGGGATCCACTTGCCTCTGCCTCCCAAGTATTGGGATTAACTTGGTAAAGTTTTTATGAAGAGGGCATGGCCATCATGTAGACTAATGTGCTCTGTAGCCATTGAAGGGAGAATAAGTTGATAAATGCTTCTAGATCTCAGAAAACAATGCGCACACATTAGCCTTGCTCTTAAGGGAGGACGCAGTACTTAATGGTGTGGAAGCTTAGAAAGGAGAAGTGGGGACAACAAACAAGTTTGGAATGGTGCCCATTGGCTGAGGTTTGAGTAGTCAAACCAACATGTGGTCATGTCAGTAAAGTGATGGAGATTACAAGCAGAGGTACCTGGCAGCCTGTCCATCGCCATGACTTACAAAACAGGAACTCAGTTAGCAGAACCACTTGATAGAGGATTGAAAACTGGTATCTTTAAAGTAATTCAAGGAGAAGTTTGCTGCGTTTTAAAATTGTGTAGGTAAAGTCAAAATGTCCATACCTCACTGCTTCAGTTTTTCCTTTGGATAGGTAGAATTTCTCTTCATTGTTGTATTCATCGAACACCCCCCATCGGAGATGAGCCCACTCGTGGAGAAACGCCCTCTCTGGGAGGAAAACAAATCAGACAGCTGAAGACATAAAACGGGGTAAAATAACCTCACGCTAGAAGATAATTCTTCTAAATGTTTGCTTTGCTTGGCTTTATTATTTACTTCTAAATAATAAAATTAGGAGCTTGCTTCTCTTACTGTGACCTAATGCGAGAAGTATGCAGTTATGTGGAATACACAGATTTATTCTTGGCTTGTTGTGTGTTCATGGGGTGATGATTGAGGGCCGGGAGGTTATTCCCCCTGTCAGGCAGCTGCCTCACCCACAGTGTGTGATCTTAGGGAGGACATGCAGGATAAGAGAGAGAATGCCTTGCGGTACAAGGGTTAAGTCCTTCGCACAGCATGGGAGTACTCGGTAAGGCCAGCCTTTTTGCTATTGTTTGCCTTTGTGCTCCAGAATTAGCACGTTTCTGGGGATTTTGCTCTGGGCCACAACATCCTCTCATTCACCTCTGGTTTGTGTGACACCTGCCTTCTCTAGTTGGTATCTCTCACTGTCTCTGCAGTGGTCATTACTGCTCTCTCTCTGAAAGCCAAGCTTCCATCTAGCTTGTAATCCTAGTTATTTAAGAGGCTGAAGCAGAAGGACCAGTTCAAGTCCTGCCTTGGCAACACTTTTGAGAGTCTGTTGCCAAAGCATTAAGAAGGAAATATTAAGCTCCGATTCCCAGCTGCCACCCTAACATGCTCAGAGTGGACTAGACACGCCTCTTTTGCAGTTTTATCATGCCCCATTATGGCCCTGAGCATCTTACTGTCATCGTAGCTTATCCCCGTGAAGACAGACAATATGATTTCCCCTTGTTGTATCTGGGCACATCCTATCTAGAGATGATTTGGCACCATTAAGTATCTGTTTTATCTGGATGACTCTTAGTGACTTATGAACATTTTTCAGGCTGGCTGAGTCTGGAGAGCTCGGTGGGAGGGGTGTGCCGAGGAACTCAATCCCTGCTCTGATCTAAGGGTTCACACTGGATTTTCTTCTAAGTTCTGGAAGGGAAATGGCTGTCAAGATAGCAGAAGATTTTGAGGGCAAAGAACTGGGGCCAAGATACATAAAAAAGTGATTTAAAGGGAGGGTGTGATCCACAGCTGTGACAGCTATCGTGAGCACAGGACCAATGAGTTCAACACATACTTTTTGAGTCATAGGTCAGGGATCTCCTGTTCCTGTTATGGGAATGAAGTGGAGTAGTGTAGAACAAAGGGGCAAAGTTCAGACCTTGCTACTCAGTGCGTAATGTGTGGGGCTGAGGCTTGTGGCACCGCGTCTTGCCCTTTTCCTCCGCCTTACCTAGGTTAAGAAAACCAAGCTGATAGTGGAGGAGTCTAGTCTTTTTTAGAACTTATTATTTCAACACTAGTTATTCAAGAATACTAGTTATTCAATAACTAGCCACATTCATATATGTATATATAAAGCTCGTATATGTACTTTGAATATTTCCTTCAAAGATTGCTCTATATAGCTCATATTGATATGATTGAGTTTATTTTTATTTTTGTAAGGATTGAACTTTTTCTTTAGTTGTTCCTTCCTTTTAAGGGTCTTCCTGTGTAGCCTAGGCTAACTAAAACTCAGGATCCTTCTGGATCAGCTGTCCTGGGATTGCTGGTTCAGAGAGAGACAGAAAGAGAGAGAGAGAGAAAGAGAGAGAGAGAGAGAGAGACAGAGAGACAGAGGGGGGGAGGAGAGTCTTTTGAGAGATGACAGCAAAACAATTCCGTCTGCTACCTAGAGAGTGGTACCCCTGGCAGCACTACCTGAAAGCTTGTTAAAAACTCGGAATCTGAGCCTCTCCCAATTCCTACAGAATCAATACTCAAATTCTGCTGAGTCAGGACCACAAATCAATTGAGCCTGAGCATGCCGACACCATCTGGTGGCTATCTTATGAACTGCAGAAAGGAGATTCAATCCAGTCCCGAGAAGCCCATACATAGATCCATAGATGTCTAAGGCTTCATGGCAAACAATTTTATTGTAATAACCCGGTGCTATAGTAATTCATAAAGTTACCAAAGTGCCACACATCTGCAGGTATACAAGTCTATGCTAAAGTATAGCTCAGAAATACCTAGCTCTGGCTCCTTGCTTTAAATGAAAAGCTTGCTTCACTGGCTTTCTTCCTAACACACTGTCATCTGTAGGCTTAGGCAGAAAGAGAACACAGTAGTTAATACACAACCGGTGTGTTAAGGTATCTGCTGGAACGCCTTAGCTGAGTCCATACCTTGTGGTCCGTACTCTTTCAGCTTCTTTCCTGCTAAGAAGCTGGGGGTGAGGTGAATCCTGAGTCCCTTCTCTCCACATGCTCCCACGTGCTCGGTGTGTGGCTGGTCCTCACCCACAGGGCTGGTTGCTGACACCAGGACATCGGCCTGGAATGTAGGAAAAGATGACCATATCATTTCATCAAGCAGATTGGCATCGCTCACAGCTGGGGGACTTAGGCGCAATCCCATTTCATTCCACACTACTTCACCTCCAGCACAGGAACAGAAACAAAAGCTAAACTGCTGAAGAAAATTGGCCAAAAAGAGTTTGTTCTCACATTTTTGATGGTTTCGAGTTTTGGCCTCTCATACTCAGCTTTTGTCTTCCAGCTTTCAGGAATTAAAATGGCAACATCTTTGAAATAAAATCTTTTCCCCGTAGCTTCGAACAGGTATGGGGAGGCTCGCGTCACCATGTCCTGGGAGGAGAGAGAGAGCACATGTAACAACGTCACTGTAAACAGACCGAGTTACAGGTCATTCAAACACGCGTCTGGATCTTCTTTTCAAAAGCCTAGCCGGGCAAGGCCATGGCTTCCTTAATAACAGCATTCCCTGAGATCTTCAGACATCAGATATCTGGGGCATCAGATAGTAGGGGCTGACTCTCCCTAAGCAGGGATCCTCTGGACACCGTCAGACTTAACTCTGTTCTTGTTGCACAGAACGAAGAAGTGAAAGCCAACTTAGCTCGCATAGTTCAGACCTTGCTCATTTTAGAAAGTCAATTCAGTAACTGCGGTGAGAAATCAATGATTTTCACCAGGAAACCCACCAAAGATGGCAAGGGCAAGCACTCTGAAGGCTCAAAGCTTCGTGGAACACCAAGTTGCTGTTATTAAACATAAGGTACCAGTTTCTCCTAGCATATCCCCAAAACACACTGGCCTGAGACAGAAACAAACCAGCCATGCGTCTCTTCCATTTTCTACTTTGCTTCTTTCTCCAGGTATCTGCTTCGTTTTTGTTGTGGCAATCAACAGCCCACCTGAGGCTTCTGACTACTGATCAGTTTCAGGCACGGACTTGCTTGCACTGAAGAGGGTCTGAAGGCCTCCGGGGGTAAGCATGCCTCCTTGGACATGCCGCGCCTCCATCTCCCACACCTGTTTGAGTTATACTCTGGCCAGGAATCCTGGCAGACAGAAATGGTTCTTCACCCAAACTCCATGATGCGTCCCGGGGAATCTTCTGGACTTTGGTCCTAGGAACCTGCCCTCAGAAGGGGGTAAAAGGGCGACTAATGGAGGAGGGGCTCAGGGCGCCCTAACCTTCACTGCCCAGCTGTTTGCTACATAGATTCAGAGAGAGAACAGTCACTGCCTCCCGTTGTGAGCTCACTGTTGACCGTGCAAGGGTCCCATGAATAGCGCCCATCCAAGTGTCACACAGACAGCCACCAAATGTGCCACTAAATAAAACTAGAAGTCATGAAAGGGACAGTGAGAGGATGTTGATGGGGATGAAAGGGACAAAGAGTAGGGGTGGCTACTAGTCGGAATGCATTATGTAAATTATAAAATTGTCAAAGAAGAATTAATATTTAAAATGCGAATCTAAAGATAACATATTGCCTAATAATGAAATGGATATACAAATTAAACTAATGCACGAGAGAGAGAGAGAGAGAGAGAGAGAGAGAAACAAATACAAGCATAAAAGACAATAATGTAAAAGTACTGTTAAAATGTAGCAAAAAAAAGCAAGTAAGCAAGCAAAAACAGGTGACTGGAAAACAGTGGCAGTAGCTGCGGTTTATTAAGCTCCATCTGTGTCTTTGTTACTGGTGTGCACTTCTGCATGCTCCTCACAAGGCTCTGTAAGAGAAGCACTTATTGTCACCCATTTTACAGAACAGGACACTCACCCGTTTCAAAGCAATGACCATGGATGTGCTTTGAGCAGACTGAGGACTCCAGGGTGATCTTTTAGAAAGTGTTTCCTTCTTATTCCCAGCCCTTTACTGTGGTGGAAGAACTCTCTCATCTTTCTACCTGATGACAGTTTGGATGGCTCTTCCAGCTCTCCTGGGACAAAGCGCTTCTGTGTACCTTTTCTCCACTTACAGAAGAGGCAACAAAGGTGTACCCTTGTCCTTCTCCCGCACACACCTGCAGCAGCCCCGAGTTGACCCCTTGCTTCCAGGTTGAGCAGATGCAGTGCCTCTGCCCACTGGAAGGGCTAAGTGAAGGCTTGCCTGTCAGGCTGCTATTTAGCCTCACAGGTTAGTTTCAAGTAGAATAACAAGAGGGTCTACTATGTGGTGGTGGTAGCAACCTGCAGAAAAATTACCTGCTCGTTATTGTTATACAGCTGAACCTGCCTTTCTCTAGCACAAAATATTTCTCAGTGACAACCTACAGCCAGAAAATACAGATGTCATTCGTTAAGTGCCAACAACATATCTAACTTGGAATTATGTGCATTGCATTCACCTTGTTTCTCATAAAAATCCTAGTGGGTAAAGAGTTATTGCTTTCCTTTTATAGATAAAGAATTGGAAATTCAGACATAAAAGTGTCTTGCCAAGTCAAGCAACTAGAGCAAGACAAATCGTGTTCCCTTTAACACAATATTATGCTTAGTGTTGATTAAATACTAGTAGCTAGAACAGTCAAAACCTAGAAAATTGCCTCTTCGCACACACCTTTATGTGTTGAATGAGGGCTTCATCTTCGGGCACATCATGGTCGATGGCAATGACGATGCCTTCATAGCCATTTTTGTTCAGCTGGATGAGGGAGTTGCTCAGAACCCCTTCCAGAAGGTGGAGGACCAAGATGAAGATAGGACTCTTCAATGACCCCATCGTGTAGATGTCCCTTGGAAAGGGCTGGTTGTAGAAGTGTCTTTACTGCTATATATATGCTCCAAGTAGAGACACAGTTCTCCTTATCGAAGGTGATTTATTATAGGTCTTTAACCTCTTGACCCCAAATAGTTCCTCACCACATTTGTCTACAATAGGAGAGTAACTATTGTTTAAAACCAAACTGTGTACTTTGAAGTGTTTCCATTTAAAAAAAAAATGTTGGGCTTGCCTTGGGTTGTGCCAGATGCTTGAGCAGGGGTGGGGGAGTCTACATCCGGTTCCCAGAAACATGCATGCCGGAAAAGCAGGTTGGCCATTGGAAGATCTGTTGACTTACAAATATTTGTCTAGTCAGGGACACTGATCCACCCACCACCATCCTGAACCCCACCTGCTGGGAAGCTTGACTTTCATGCATTTAGGTAAGTTTCTGTTTCCTGTAAGGAATCTCTTCCATTTTCTCTCTCGGGGGATGTCATTTTTACCCTCAGCAACATTGGAGCAACCTCAGCATCTCTCGGCACGCTCCTTCCACAGTCCACATACACCAAAGCCATCAGTGGGAGTCCAGGCACTACAGAATGGTTTGCAGTAGAGAGAAAAGGTAAAACCTTCATCTTGTTTTGTGAAACAAGCTTCTCAAGTTCCCTCGGTACCCATTGCTTCTCTACCACACATCTCCAACAGTCAGTTAAGACTAAACCAACAGCATACGTTTACTTTGCTGAAATTAAATGTCACTCTGAATCATAAATTATGGAGGATCAGTTACCGCATAGATTCTTTCAAGCTCACTGAACTTCAGATGGAAATCCAACATGGCTCATGGTGTTCCTGACTTCAAATTACTTGTAAATAGCTTTGGTGCAAATTTAATTTGGTCTTCAGATAGACAAATGCATCAATATTTACCCTGTCTGTGTGTCCATTTTATTTGATGTTTGGCTTATCACAATTAAGTTAGTATTTACTGCTAACGAACTATTAAACAATCGGAAATGAAGACTAAAGTGGAGGTTTAAAGTGTTTGTCCAGATGATCCAAGCCCAGGTCCATAGGAAAAGATGAACGCCTTTATCATGCATACAAAGTTTAGATTCCAGGCCAGAGAAATGACTTTGTATAAGGAAAGGCACCTGCTGTCAAGCCTGACAACCTGAGTTTGATCCCCGCAACTTGCATGGTGAAAGAAGAAAAAAGACCCCTGCAAGTTGTTTTCTGACTTCTACATACACGCCTTGGCATATACACACGTGTGTGTGTGTGTGTGTGTGTGTGTGTGTGTGTGTGTGTGTGTAAGCTGCGAGCATTGGCAAATTTAATCATTCCTAGAATCTCAAGTTAATAAATAATCACAACTGCTTAAAACATGTGAAGGAGGAGAGGCCCTGTGAGTTTGCCCTAGACAGGCACACCTGTGTCTTTCTGGGACGTCAAAAGTTATCAGTAGAGTTAGAGTGACAAGCTACATCATTTCCATGGGATACAGTTTATCATGTTGTCCTGATTTTTCTTGAGACTATGGCCATCAACAATCACAAGTTCTGGAATGCTCATCTTGATTACCAATGTTAACTCTCAGATCACACGCTGCACATCACAAAGCAATGTACTCCTATAGGTATGTATATCAGAATAGCTACAAAGGATCTAAAGAGGTCACACAGAGAATGAAACAGTCTCATTCAAAGCAGAGTTGGAAAACTGCTACAGAGGCAGAAGAGTCACAGAAGATGCTTTGACAAGATGCTGACAAACCCACCGAAGAACCTGTAGACACTGAGGTACTGAAGTACAGGACCTTTGAGGTGAGCCACAAGACCAGGTCTAGGAGTACAAATGGTTGGGTGGATGGGTGGGTGGGTGGATGGTGTGGGTGGGTAGATGGATGGGTAGGTGGGTGGGTAGAGAGACAGCAATTAAAGTGGATCGTGTCAAACAGTTGGGACTACTGAGCTGAAGCCCCTAGGGAACAGTCAAGAGCTATCTGACTGTCTATCACAGTGTGTCAATGGTTCCACCACCATCACAGTGTGTCCATGGTGACACCACCATCCCAGTGTGTCCATGGTGACATCACCATCCCAGTGTGTCCATGGTCACACCACCATCACAGTATGTCCATGGTTCCACCACCATCCCAGTGTGTCCATGGTGATACCACCATCACAGCATATACATGGTGACACCACCATCCCAGTGTGTCCAAGGTTACCCTCACAGTGTTAGGGGTCCCCTCCTTTCATATTTCATGAGTTCCAGGTAAAGGGTGTTGCTTCTTGTTCATCTGGCTGTTCTTGGAAAGCTCTTGTTTTTTTTCTGATATGGGTTTTAGCCACCCTCATGGTCATGTGTTCTTAATTACTTCTGTAAATCCTTAAGTAGTATTTTATTACTTTTACAAATAAGTTATTTATCATCTCATGTCTCGTGGTTCATGCTGGACAGATGGCAGCGTCTGCATGCTCAGGCGAGACGCAGATTTATTCTGCCTCTCTACCTTTGCCCTTAGAATGGGGTCAAAGTGGTGTCTTTAGCTGTACTGTCCTCACTGTACTTTTTGGCAACAGTGGTCCTGGTGGGAAGGCCTCACTGCGTTTGTATCTTCCCAGATTGACTCAGCCTTCCATCTGGCACCTGCCACTGTTCTCTCACCTGTGACAAGCAGGGTGTCCTAAGCTTCTCCCAGGCCAAGGGCCTGACCCACACTGCTACCACATACAGGCCGTGGCTACTCTTCTACCCTTTGGTACTCACCAGGGGCCTGTGGCGTGTGGAGGTCTTGGCTCAGATAATGCACTACGCAATGGCACCTGGGATCTGGCTTTCCAGGCCAGCTCTATGAGTCAAACAACACAAATCCCAAGTGCAGGGAGTTAACTTTCTAGGGGACAGCCTTTTATCCAAACATGAGACATTTGCTGCCTCCTGGGAGACTCCTTTCTGAGGCAAAGCACCCAGATGACAATTCCTGTCTGACTTCTGCTATCACATTGGTTAACCTTGCCTGGTTTCAGACTTCTCATGAGTGCAGATTCAGACTATGAAAGTCTGTGTCTGGCAACTGTGACACAACATGTTATACATGAAATTCAGCCATGTTGTTTTAAGTAGCAGCGATATGTTTTCTTACCATCATACCCCATTGCAAAAATGTGCCCCAGTTCATCCCCCATCCGCTGTTACTTTTGTATTGTTTCCATTGGGGCTAATGTGACTGCAATGCCATAGATAGAAGTATTGATTTCAGTTTCATATATTTTAAAATCCTAACTGCTGGGCCTTAGGGTAGCATATGTCTAATGTCAAACTCTCCTTTGATCAGCACTCCAGTCAGAATCTCCTCTCTTCGATGAGGGGTTCCTTCCTCATAGGATCTGGTTTGATCATGAGTTCTGCTAAGATAGTGCAGGGAAAATCCCATGCTTGGCATATGGTTGATCTAAAATTTTATCTCCCTGGCCAGTCTTCTGTAATAACCCTGCGAAGTCGGTTTGGAAAGACACTCCTTATTCTTTATGCTTCCTGTTGATCCGTGTTCCTCCGCTGTGCTCACCCTGTTCCTTGTCCTCACTGGGGAGAGAGCTAAGTATCGCCTCTCTTCTCCACTCCTGCGTTCTATTGCAGCGCTGGCCATGGCCACCGCTCCTTAAACATAGCATCTTAAACAACGGGAGGGAACTGTCAGCGGCACCTTCTTAGTTTCATTTTATAATTGTTTGTTGACGCTCTATAGGAATATAATCAATTTTATAAAGATATCAATATTAAAGTGTTAATCAGAACTCTTTGTCACACAAAGCCCTGGTATGAATCCTGCCTCCACCTCCCTCATTTCACCTTTCCCTGATAAGACCAATCAATCCCCCAGTAGGTGCTTATTTAAGCATCGACATTGAGAAAAATATGCAAATGTTTTGAAGGGTACTAACCATCAAAAGCTTAAGCGTGTAGTTTTAACCATTCTGCTTTTGAAAATTTAGCTTGCAAATACATTAGGTTAGCAACTTTTCATATATGAGAGACAAGCTCACATAGACATAAAATTATATGTGTAAGGATGTCTCATGGGGCCTTCCTTAGCTTAGTGAGCAATTGAATGGACTAACTACTCTATTAATAAACTAATATTATTTACTATTAACTTTATAGCATCTTATTTACTCATATGTAATGTTCATAATATCCATCCTTTTATAATTGAAAAATATGAATAAAAATACTGGACTGGAGGCCATGAAAATCTTGTCTTTTTTATGGATGCTCTCTTCTCCCTTTACATCATTCCCCTTCCCACTTTCATCTTCCAGGGGCGTCTTCATGCTCTTCTTTCCAAGGAGAATTAAGATCATACCAATTTATAAGTTATTCCTGCTGGGGTTTTATTCAAATTTATATTGCATCTGTTCGCTGAACCAGGAAGATAAGACATGATTTCCTCCCACTCTGACTACCCTGCTGTGCCCATGAGTCAGTTGTTCTCCCAAGCCGGCTTCTTGATAAGACTCAACCGTCTGTAGCAGGAAGTGGGAAATGAAATTATCTACCGTCTGGGTCACTCTCCACCTGTCCCGGAAACCGTCTTGCAGATAAGAGCATTCCTGTCTAAGGGCACCGGGGTTCATAGAGTAGGAATTTCTTTCTTTTGTCCCTAGGCACAAACTGAAGTCTCTTTCCTGCATATGTGTGTAGATTCCCAAGAGCTTCTCTGTCATCATAAGCTTTGTGAACTGTGTCCCTAACTTTTATTTCCTTTCTTCTCTGTCTTCACATCTGGTATGTATGCTTCAGCTTCCTACAATGTACACAAGAAGAGTCTCTCCGATGTCACTTCTCTGATTTCACATCTGCCTTAATTTCTTGTCTACCACAGTAACAGATCCTAACACACAATGCAGCCTCCAAACAAATTTGGATTGTGTACCATTTCTTTATTTCTCTTTCAATTACCTTTACTGAGATATTCATGTGTCAAACAGTTCATCTTTTAAACTGTAGAATCCAGTGAGTTGTAGTTTTCTTCAGAGTTGAGTAGCTATTACCACAACATTTTGTCACCCCCTAAAAGATAAGTAATTTTGAACTAGGTGGTGGTGCTGCACACCTTTACCAGCACTTGGGAGGCAGAGGCAGGTGGATCTCTGTGAGTTCAAGGCCAGCCTGATCCACAAGAGCAAGGCTCCAAAGCTACAGAGAAACCCCGTCTTGAAAAAAAACAAACCAAGAAGTGTAATTTTGGAGTAGTTGGAGAAGAAGGGAATATGGACTCTTCATGTTTGGAGAGAATAAAAATAGAGAAACCATCATGTTTCAGTCCTTTCTTTGATGGGACACATTTTATTACTGACTCAGTTTCTTTGTTCACTATTGGTCTGTTCAAATTTCCTATTTCCTCATTAGTTGATCTTGGGAGAGAATTTATCCATACTTTAAATATGATAATTTTTTATCTTTTTTTTTACTCTGAAGAGTGTACATTGCTGAAGCAAAGATGTTGAAGTTCCCTTCCATTGCTATATTGTGGTCTGTCTCTCCATTCAGATCTGTAAATCTTTTCTTCATATGTAATCATGGCATCAAATCATGCTATATTTCTTCTGTAGTACCAGCTATTAATCCATTTGAAATTTTCTTCATAGATTTTATTTTTTTAAAAAAGGATTCCCACTATCCTTTTTTAAATTTTTAATTATTTACATTTCCTTCTTTGAACTTTTAATTATTTACATTTCTTTCCACAACATCCACATTAATTTACAGAGACATCAATATACATTTGGTGTCCTAGCACGCAGACTCAGCTACACAGGTTTATACTGAGAACATTTAGAATCATTGGAGTTCATCTCTGACATAGGGGATGTTTCTACCCTTGTGTACTTTCCTTCTTTCTTTGTTTATATTTTTTCTTTTATTGAAAATGGATTCTTTTCTCATACAATATATCCTGACTACACTTTCCCCTCCCTCTCCTACTCCAGTCTCTCCCCACCTCCCCTCTCATATGGATTCACTCACCTCTGTATCCTTCACTAGGATTGTCTTCATATATTTAGGAAGTTTCCATTGCACTAGGTTTCCATAGCATCCCTCAAATAGCCCTCAAGTTTAGCTGTCTCTCCTGACATCTCCACCCTCAACCTCATCTTCCCTCCCTCTCCCTACCTGTTCCTCCCATTCCTGTCTTTCCTGGCCCCCAATCACCCAGAAAATCTATTCTATGTTCCTCTCCTAGGGATATCAATGTGTCCTCCTAAATCCTTTCCTCTATACCTAACCTGTCTGAGTCTATGGATTATAGTTATGGTTATCATTTTCTTATCAGTTAGAATCTACATGTAGGTGAATACATACCATACTTATCTTTCTGGGTCTGGGTTAGCTCACTCATGATGATTTTTTTTTCTAGTTCCATCCATTTGCCTGAAATTTCATGATGACATTTTTTAAACAGCTGAGAAATACTACATTGTGTAAATGCATCACATTCTCTGTATCCATTCTTCTGTTGAGGGACATCTAGATTATTTTCCAATTTCTGGCTATAATGAATAGAGCAGCAATGAACATGTTTGAGCAAGTGTCTTCATGTTAAGATCAAGTGTCCTTTGGGTATGTAACCAAGGGGATATAGATGGATCTTGTAGTAAATTGTTTCCTATCTTTCTGGGGAACTGTCATGATATTTCCATAGTGGCTGTGCAAGTTTGTACTCTGGGCAGTAAGGAATGGGTGTTCCCCTTATTCCACATCCTCGTCAACAGCATTTGAGATACTTCAGCCACGCTATGAGAACGAATGATGGCAGATACCTGAAGATAGCACTGATTGCTTGGAGGGGTGACCGGGATAATGCAAAGAGGAAGACCCACAAAACACTGGATAGACAGCATGCAGGAAGACTGTGGAACCTTGGGTATGACAATGACACACGCATCTAGGACTGCCCAGGACAGGATTGACTGGAGAACCACCACACACGGGCTGCCCATGCATGCTTAAGCATTGCCGGGGCATAAATGATGATGATGATGATATTATATTTTACTTGTGTGTGTGTGTGTGTGTGTGTGTGCGCGCGCGCGCGCGTGTGCACGCGCACGCACGTGCAGGATTGTTCCTATCACTTTTCTCTGAGTTCTGTTCCAGTACTAGTTTAATTATTAGTCGTCTTGACTCTAGAAAGACCTGATATCAGGCTTTTTTAGAGGAGATTGAAGATTTGCCCTTAGTTCTAAGGTATAATCTCACTGGGTAATGTGGTCTCTACCATGGTCAGAGAAAACCCAATGTACTTACCCTTTTCTCACGTAGATGCAGTTGAGTCTTCAGCACCTTTGCCTCAGATGAGGCAGTAGCTAAATATTTATCCAGCTCCTTTGCCTTTCTATTTCTCCCACAGGCCTTCTGTATAATGTAAGAGTCCTGCAAACATGAAAGGGTTGTCGACTTGTGACCTCCTCCCTTTGTGATACCTGCCTTCTCAGATTTCACTTTCCAGTTTCCAGTCGCTCTGCTGTCCTGAGAGCCTAGTTCATTCATCACCATAAAACCGTTGCTTTCTGTTTAAGCACTGTCTGCTGTTTCAAACAGCGAGAGTCTTCCAGGGAGAGCTGGCTAAAACCAGATCACACCCCGATGACCTCCCCATTGAAGTGGCACAGTTTCCCTGGTTTCTGCCATTTTTTTGTTAATGTCCAGTGTCTTAGAGAATCTTGTTTCATATTTTGTCTGTAGTTTTAATTGTTGTCAGTGAGAAAATTCATTTGGAAGGAGCAAAGAAACTTATTAATGCCATTGGATTTAAACTTTGAAATAAATGATGCAGTAGGTTCAATACTTCTTAGAATAAATACATTTTAATAGCAAGAAAATAAAGGCAAATCAACCCTTTTAGGGCAGATTTTTCCGGTAACAACATGCAGGCATGGCAGTGCCTGCTCAGTAGGGCCTCTCCATTGCCTGGTGTGTGCTCTGTCTGTGGTCTCCGAGAAGCCATTCTTTGCTACTTTTGCCTGGCTTCTTTTGAAATTTAACCTTTTCTTGCTACCACTAAAAGCTGGGGGGAAAGTGGGAGAGATTTGATCCCTAGAAGATAGTTCTATCTACTGTATAACCAGCACCATTCTGGCATTTAAAGGCTATCCTGTTTGCCTGTATTACTCTCATTTCCCAGACTCCTCTGCCCCAATCAGATAACTGAAAGTCTAGCTCATAATTTTCCTCCTCTTGTAATCTCTGGTCAAATCTTTAATGGCATCATTATTCACAAGGAACACAGCCAGTGACTAATGCTTATTACTTCCTCTTTCTCCCTGTTCCAATTTTCTGTTTCTGTTGTTGTTGTTGTTGTTATTTATTAATGATCAACAGGAACTTTACCACAGCTTTGTTCTATTGGTGCCTGGGGTCTCTAATTCAGGATTTTCCTCTGTCTACTGCATCTTTCTTGTTGTCTTCACTTTCTCCCCTCCTCCTGATACCAAGTGCCATTTACCCTCCCCACTTCATGAGACCACTCTGACTGCGTGCGTGTGTGTTAACGTTACATCCTTCCCTTTTGCCTCTGCCACTTTGCTAAATTCTAGATGGAAGGCAGATGTGCTTGTTTACACCTGCTCTCAGGAAATGGGGGAGAAAAACAAGAGCTAAAGCAAGTTCTTTAACTCTTTCTTTCCTTTTCGTATATTTTAGTTTTATGAGACAGAGTCTTGCTATATGGTCTGGTCTGGCCTCGATTCCCTACCCTTCTGTCATCCTCTTGGATGCTAGGATTCGAGCATCAAACACAAGTGGCTCCCTCCTGCTGAAGACCATGGAAGAGTGAGGTATCTCCTGATGGCTCTCATGGCTTCTTCAGTAGCAGAGCGGTGGGCTAGCTGATAGCCCGACTCTACAGTGATCCAGCTCTGCCACCCTCCAGCACACTGCCTTGATCCACCCTGGTTCTCTGTCTTTCCATCTGTAAAATAAACCCATCTGAGGGCTCGAGCCCCTCACTCACAGCCCCATCTCTGCGTTTCACCAGGCCAATTTGAAGCCACAGAGCAACAAAGTCCAGGCTATCAGATGTAGAGGCAGCACCGGGCAGAGGGACTCAGCTCCACACTGGGACCTGGGTTGAAGAGGCCACCAGGCTTCTAGACTTGGAGATGTAGGGACTAGAAACTCAGACAGCAATGGCAGACATGGACAGGAACAGGAATTCTGGGAGGAGCTGGGGCAGAGAGAGCCCCTCACTGTTTTGCCCATTCTACTGTATCTCTCACTCCTGGCCTCATGCCCTCTCTTTCCTATTTTTATCCCACGTCCCCACATTTTGTCAACATGTCCCCAAATGTGGCAAAATCATTTTTAGTTAATCCTGGTTATAAACCCAAACCTTCATTTATATTATTATATTTATTTAATAAAGTTTTGGGTTCTTGAATTTAGAAGTGAAATGATATTACTATTCAATAACTTTTTTTTACGAAGAGGAAATAACTTTCAAGGTCTTTCTTCCATGTTATCTCTGCAGTCTCCTTCCTCTGCCCTTGGTGAAGAAGCTATTATAGACAGTTGATTTAATTAGAGGGCAGACTTTGGGAGTTGTTCCTAAACACCTTTCCTTCCATGACCTCTTCATTGAAATAGTATAAAATTGTATGGCGCACATATTGGAATTATTTCAGAGTAATGTTTCTTTATTCTTAAAGCCTCATGAGAGCTGTAAGCATTTTTATTCAATTATTTCCAAGGCAACACCTTAGAAAGATGCTTCAGTGGGGCTAAAATATTACAAACCATAAACTCTGGTGTCTCTGTCACAGATCATCAAGGGGCAAGGACAATAACCACATTCTCAGGTTCTCCTCGCACAGTAAGAAAGGATCTGTCCAAGTGTTGGTGGATTGTGAACCATCGTGTATGTAACCAAAGGAGCCCCACAGTGAGGACCCCGTCTATACAGCAGCTTGGCTGCCAGCTATAAACATGCATCCTGCTCTGTACAGATAAGCAGAGATGAGAAATTCATCAAAGTACCACGGTTGCTTCTTAAAGACAATTACACTGCCTGTTTCCTGCATCTGAGACATTTTCTTCTCCCAACGTCAATAAAACAGCTTTTCTTGAGTCAGATTTGATTTTGCCTTTACCTTGTCTTTCAAGATATTACCATGAACAATATTTTTTTAAAAATTATTTGTCCATAACTGGAGCCTTACTGTTTTCTAACCTTCCCCCCAAATGAGTATTAAAAAAGTTGTTTCTTTTGGAAGGGGTAGGGGGTATCTATCTGCTATGTAAAAACTGAACCGTATTATATAAATGCCCAGATGCATTTCAACACAGTGCAGATGCTAATTTGACTTTGTTGGATTTTTTTTTTATGAACGTAAAGGCCACGGGCATCATATCTAGTGAGGAAGGAACTATGCCCATTTGCTCACAGCAATTTTGTTCCATTCTCTTTCTTTAAAGCTCTCTTTTTCCTGTTTAAAGTCCAGTGGGCTGCAACCATAATAAGGCAGATGATTGCTATCAAACCTACTGCTATTAAAACCCCTTTAAGTACCAGATCATCTCTGCTCAGTGCAGGAACAGAGCTGGGAGGAGTAGACAGCGACACCAGGGCAATGTTGGACACAGCTGACTTCAGGGAGTTGTGGTCCACTGTTCTCATGGCCACATACACCATGTGGATTTCCTGTATTTCTCCGTCAGATTCAGGTTCAAGTTCATCAGTGACAAGCTTGGGCGAGAACGTAAATGTTTCTCTCGTGCCAGCTTGCTGAGGGTCAAGCTCCGATGTGTTCACTAGAATGGCCTTGTCAAAGTCATCGCGAACTCTCCATAGGCTTTTACTCATTCGGATCTCATAGCTTGTAGCTGAAATTAAGAGCACAGTTGGGGAAGTTCCGTCACGGAGCATTTTTTTAGTTTATTGAAAATGAGTAATGAAAATAGCCACAAAAAGTCAAACTATCAAGGAACACGCAACTGGAAAAACCCTAAAGACCAAGTCAAACGGTAAAGATTCATGCTAAAATCTGATACCCACATGGACTTGGTAGTTTTCGAAAGCAAGAGACAACATAATCAATATGTCATCTTCCCATGGTTATTATGTGCACTGTTTATTTGTGCTCCCTCTAGGTTTTGTTTCATGTAGTGAAACTTTTTGTAAAGTTTATACGGAAAACTGTTGCGGGATATTTGATCACACTGTGTGAAATGTGTCACTGTGTTTTTTTTTTTTTTTTCCTGATTACTTTAATAAAGATCTGAATGGCCAGTAGCTAGACAGGAGAGGCTAGGTGGGATTTCTGGGGAGAGCACATGGGTTTTACATAGATCTCACCAGTGAGAAACATAGGAAGTTGGATGTACATTATGGAGAAGAGATAACAGCCTCATGGCAGAGCGTAATTTAATATAAATGGGTGAATTTAAGTTACAAGAGTTAGTTGATAACAAGCCTAAGCTAAGGCCAAGCTTTTGTAACTAATAGTAAGTCTCCATGTCATTGTTTGGAGGCTGACCAGAAAGCATAGAGAGAGAGAGAGAGAGAGAGAGAGAGAGAGAGAGAGAGAGAGAGAGAGAGGGAGAGAGAGAGAACAAAATACTGTATGAGGAAAGGTAGTTACATAACAAAGTCAGCAAACTTACCCTGGCCCTGGTCAAAGTCTTCTCCAGGTGCCGTCCAAGAGAGGATCACATCCTCTTCCACTTTCACAGCTTCCAGGTCGGTAATTTTGCACGGTGGAAACATGTCAGGATGGGGGCCAGCTGGAACTCCCTGCACCGAGAAGGAGCCTCCGGCGCTTACTCTACTGAAGCCCCACTGTTCCTCCACATCTCTGCGGCCTGGTTGTTTTGGAGCGTTCATTTGAATATTATCTGGAGCACAAAGAAAAAGCCAAGTAGGAAATTACAAATCTTCTGCACAGCGTTGAGAGATTGCCGCCCCGTCATTAGAACCACTGAGTTCATTCCGTCAACAATGTGTCCATTCATCCATTAAGTCCCTCCACACGTGTTCTTTGGGGGCAGACTGCTGTGCTATGAATCAGACTAAACACTCTTGCTCATGAGATGTACAGCCATGGCAGTCATATCAGTAAACAGATTTTTATAATCTGTGACTAAGAGGGAGTAATACAAAGGCAGGGTGTTCTGCAAGCTCTCATCATTCAGGGTGGTACTGAGGAAGTAACACTCAAGTTTCCCAAAGGCAGAGATGATCAGGTAAGACATGACAGAGGAAACACCCTGGGCAAAGAGAACAGCTTGCATGAAAACCTTGGTTCAGGAAAGTAGCAGGTTAGGGAGACTAAACGAAGAAGGAGGGCCGCTCCAGCTACAGCCCTAGCATGCACGGCACCCCGGGATTCCATCTCCAGCACTGCAAACAAACAGAAAGCAGGATAAGAGGTCTAGATGAGGCAACAGAGCAGGCAATAACTGACCTCAGGGATCAGTGCAAGGCTTGGGTTTGAACCCCAGGGCTGTGGGGAAGCAGGGATGTTACAGTTCATCATTTGGCTTTTTAACAGGTCCCTAGGAAATGGATCAGACTTCAGTAAGCAAGAGGCTGCTTAGAAAGAGTCACTCAGTAGTGAGACACAAGAGCTGAGTGGAACACGGGAAAACAGTGGCAGATGTCAATGAGAACTTCAGGGGGAGGCAAGCAAGGGTAGCCCCACGAATAATTCACACAGTTAGCACAGTTGATGACAGATTCGAATGTGGGATGGTGAAAGAGAAGTTGGTTAAAAGCAGCTCCTAGACCCGGGGTGGGGGGACCCGTTTTGACAACTTGTCTTCTGAGTTCCACACACTTGTTTGGTGTGAACACACACACATACACACACACACACAAATATTTTAAAAGTAGTTCTTAAAATAGTTTCTAATTGGTGTAATTTGATAGAAGGTGGCCAAGGAGTCAGAGAAAAATTGAGTTTATGATTCCTCTAAAATAGAACTAGTTAAATATGGGTTTTAATATTTAACAACATTTAAGCTAGATTCAATAATTATAAAATTGTGAGTTCAGAGATTGTGGGCATATAAATGCTATCAAAACCATATGGCTTAGTAAAGCTATCTAATGATGATTTTTAAGTTTAAGAAGTGGTGTTCACTGTGTGTCTACTATGGCAAGGTATTTTAAATATCTCATTATATCAAAATAATCAATTCCCCCAGCAAGGCAATGAAGAAGGTGACATTTTTTTTTGCCATACATTTATTGATAATGAAACAGAGAGACACAGAGCTAAGAAAGTTGCTCCATGTTACACAGCAGCAAATGGGGGAGCTAGGCCTCAGGGCTGGGCAGTGCCACTCTAGAAGGTAGGGAAGACCCAGAGAGGTGGAGGTAGCTCAGGCAGAGAGCACCTGCCAAGTGTGCACAAGTGTTTGGGGCCCATTCCCAGCACCGTGAAACACACCAAAAAAACAAGCAAAACACATCAAAGCCAATTAAGATGAGGCGAGTGGTGCTTGTCTCAAAATCCTCCAGGTTTAGAAATAAAAATGATAAGAAATGGTCCCAGGGAATGTTTTTAGAGACAGCACAGTACGTCATATTTCTGTCTTATTTTAGCTAATGCTTCCTAGTGAGACCTGAGATAGTGTTTCCTATAAAGATAGTGTTTCCTATTTATCTGGCACTTTCCTTTGTGGGATAGCAGAACCTCTGCTCAACTGTGTATAATAGCCAAACTGATGTTTATTCAGGAACTCACTTCCTGTGTTGATCTCTGGGGCTGTTAGCATCACGCTTTCAACTCTTTGCTCTTGCATAAATATCTATAAAGGAAATATGGGGCCCAACAACTTTGTCTGTTAGTTACTGCAAGCAAAGAATCAAAAGACAGTATTCAAAAAAATACTAAAAGATGAAAGGATCAATCCATAGGAAATACCTATTTTCTGTATTCTCTGTCACAAATCATTAAGAATTGAAGGAGCAGTCAATAGTGGCTTGAATGTGTGTGTGTGTGTGTGTGTGTGTGTGTGTGTGCGCGTGCGTGTTACTGGTGACTGAGTCTTAGCTCACGTCAGGCAAGTGATCCACCACTGAGCTGTAGCCACAGACCCAAGGATGGTTTTAAAATTCCATGTCTCTCTCAGGTCTTTTTCTTCTTCCATCTACCTCCCTGAGTCTTGCCTTTGTCTCTCCTCCTCTTCTTTCTTTCTCCTTCTTTCTTCCTTTATTTTTGCATGCACCCACGCGCGCACACGCGCACACACACACACACAAATATTGCACACATTCAATGTGCAGAAGTTCTTACCGTTTGCTATATAACCTGGTACATACATAGCATGGCTTCCTGGAACAGAGTGGGCTAGAGTGCTGATGCTGGGAGAGTGACGGACACGCACTGTCAAGCTATATCTACCACTTACAGGAAAGGAGAAGAAATACCTGGAGTAAATTCCATCATTTTTTATAACATCAGCACCTGTGTATGTAGACAGAAATTCAGGGTTAGCCTGTCTTCAGTGTTGATTGTTAATCCTTAATGTTAAACATCTGTTCCTTTTACTGTAGAGAGCAGAGAGCTCTCTGTGCTCACAGATAGCACAGGGGAAGCTAGAATGGTAAGCACACAGGGTTGTTCTTTCGAGGGAAGGAATGCAAGACCTGCTCTCCCCCCAGAAGGCTGGGAGCAGGCGTGCTTTCTAGTCTGGTGACCTCCGTGCTATCTGTGTGGCCAGACCCTCGCTCAGACTCCTCATGAGTTTGTTTTTCTCAGCCTCTAGCACCGTTTTTTATTGGAAGTATCACATGCACTTCATGAAGAGTTTCCATGTAGTCACGTCTGCTCTTTATTTAGCGTCCTTCATTCCTCAAAGAGATTTATTCGTGCTTTGTTGTGCACACAAGTTTGAGTTAATCATCATGAGAAAAGTTCTGATCAGATTGTGCTGTGCTTACATCTGACCCAAATGAGCCACAGTGTGTTAGACTATTGACATTTGAACTGAAATGCCTTCTTGCCTCCTGCAGATGGTCTCTCTGCAGGTCCCCAAAGGTCTCAGAGACACTCCCCTCCCCTGCAACACTGTTTCCATTTGGCATATGTTACTGTAGCAACTTTTGATATTACCATGTAGTTTAAAATAATATGGCATCCTAATTTCTTCCTGTGATTACTTTAGCTCTGAAAATTGCTTTCTAGAGCTGAATAACCTATGAACAGATTGCTCTGAATGCACCCAGCCTCATGACACCTATTTCAGAAGGAACTCTTGAAAATCATCTTGGAAGTTCTCGTTCATATGATCCCAAATAACAATAGAATATATTGTACTAAAATCTATCTTCAATTAAAAAACTAATAATAATTTCTAGAGAAGCAAAGCATTCTTAAGATTATTTATGGTCACATGGCCATATTTATTCGCCCCTTTGAAATAAAATCTGTCTCCAAAAGATAAATTCAAAAGCACTTACATAAATCTTCATGTAAGTGCAAGAGAAGCCTTTGTTTATGAGCCTTGAGTGAAATGATTAACGGCTTTGGTAGCTGATAAAACAGCATGCAGCTAGTTGACTTCCTTACTATGAAAATGATTAGACTGTCATTTTGAGTGGAAAGAGTTCCCTGAGCTGCAGTTGGCAGGCTGTGGTGCCTGTCACTGTGCCTCGCTGCAGGGAGCGTTCTGTGAGCCTGCTGTCCTTGTATTGTGATTCTCAGAGGACAGCACAATCCAGAGTCAAGACAGAAAGCTCTAGACCCCAGGACAGCAATGCCTTCAAGGCAGCCTATCACACCATGCAAGCAGCCAGTCATATCCCCCAAAGTCATTTCAGTCCTCACACCATAACTTGGGCTCCAGATATTGATACTATGTTATTATTAAAGTGCTCTGAAACCAGCTTTCCCCACTACAGGGACAATCACAGCAGCATGAGAAAATTGGGGATCTATTTATAGAAAATAAGTGGTAACTATCTTACCCATGAAGATTTAGAATTTCTTTTTTGTCAATAGCAAGAAAAACAGATCTTGGCATTTAGACGCTCTGTCTCTGTTGAGATAGTGCCAAGGGAGATTTGTCCATTCTACAGCCACCATGGCCATCTCTTCTCACGGCTATCAGAAGGAAACAGGACAGAACCTTGTCTAGGGAGTCAGGGAGCTTGGGTTTAACTTATGGATCTGTGCCGGGGCAGCTTTGAAGCCGAATGCCCCTGAACCTCCATTTTATATCTATAAAATGGGTGGGGACCCCTTCCTCTCACAGCTCCACGAGCATCGCTCCCAAAAGATGCACGCTCAGCGGAAGCAGAGGACCTTTCCTTTCCCTGCAGACCAGGACCTATCTTTGATCAAGGGTAGTATGAATAGCTGGGCTCCCCTTCAAACAAGCTCTCAAGAATCAGTTGGGCTGAAGGGATTTCTCGGGGATCATTAACACCTACAGATCCTCGTCACAGTGCCACACCATGCGACTCCTTCTTACCTGCTCCATTATCCAGAAGTTGCAGCACAACGGGATCTCCAGCTTCCGGCTCCACTGTTGCCTCCACAGTGGCATTGAGAATGGGGTACAGACCCTTCCTCACGTTCGCATAAATTATCACCGGCTGGGGAAAATGGGTGCTGTCTCTTTCCACGAAGGCTTCCACAGTGGCTGGGTATATGGCCAGGCTGGAGGCACGGGAGACCACTGTCACTTCCAGGGCTTGAGGAGAAGGATGTGTGTTGTTCAGCGTGTAAGTCCAGCGCCCATGCTGAAAAACAAGGGTTGAAACAATTAGACTGTCATTTCGAGTGGAAAGAGTTCTCTGGGCTGCAGTTGAAGAAGAAGCATGAAAAAGAAAAAAAATCGATACTTTATTAATACTGCGTTTTTTTTTTTTTTTTTTTTTTTTTTTTTTTTTTTTTTTTTTTTTTTTTTTTTTTTTTTTTTTTTTTTCTTTTTTTTTTTACTTGGTAATTTGGGAAGCTGACGGGGGAGAAATGCTTGAGCCTGGGCAACACGGCGAGACCCTGACCTAAAACAACAAAATTATAGGAGTAAGCCGATAAGGGTAGTGGTTGATGGGGCAGTCAGGTCTGAGGGATTCCCATGCCTCCTCCCAGCCTCCAGGGCTCCCTCTACCTTCAGGGTGCAGCCCCCTACTCTCTGTGCTATCCTGAATAGCCCTTGATGCTAGGCTACCAGCCCTCGCGGCTCTGCCCTCCTCCCCGTCTCTTCTGCTCTCAGCCCACATGCTACTCTCCGGCCCATCCCTCTTGAATTACCAACAGCCCTGCTTTGTCTTTGAGCCTTCCTCGGTTCTACATCCCGTGACAGAATGCCGTACCCACTTCCAGCTCTCCTGTCTCTCGTATCTCTACGATGATGTCCTCATCGCTAGGCAGCTTCCTTCTCCCTATCCTCATGTGTGTTCTGTGGTCCCCGGTGCTTGCTTCTAACAGGGCATTTTATTCTAAGTGCGAAACCCAGAACACCACAGGTACTCAAAAACTTACACATTTCATTAGTCATATTATAAAGGCTATATAGAGTTGCTCCCAAACATATAGGAAGCTATATCTGTATGAATAGCTCCTATAATGAAAGATACAGGTTTCCAAAAACTACTAATGCTATGGAGAAACATTGATTTCCATTATGAATGTAACACTGTTTTACCTAGTACTTAACACCGCGGATATACTTTGGTTGCTCCTCTTAAGTTTTTAACATCCACAAAATGTTTTTATAATGTTTTGACATGTCAGCACACATCCTTTATGTCACACATCCAAGCACGTGACTCAGTGGCAAGCCCTACTCTTGCCTGAGCACAGCCAGGTGTGAACAGGCTCCCACACTGACCTTGGCAGTTCCTGGAACCCGGAGGCTAGCTGTCCGAAAGGCCAGGTTGATGACAAAGTCGCTAGTGTTGTACTTTCTTCCACTGGGATCCAGTACTGCCATCTCAGGGGGCCCGCTGCTCTGCCACGTGACTTGGAAAACCGTGTCATTGCCCACGGCCCCATCCACAGTCACAGGGTTCGTCCGTTGCTGCTGAGGTGGCACGGTTTCATACACACTTTCAAGCTGTGGGAGAGAATGCATGGGACAGTTTCCAGTGAACACCTCACGTTCCCTTCCTTTACCTTGCTTTTGTAATAAAAAAAAAAAGACTAGGTAAAAGTAAAATACATTTAAGCCTTGAACTCACAAAGGTCCTCCTGCGTCTGCCTCTGGAGTTCTAGGATTAAAGGAGTGGACCTCCACATCCAGCTTATTTTCCGCTTTTAAAAGCTGGGGTATTTTCACTTCTTGCTGTAGAGTCATTGGAGTTCCTTGTAGATTTTGGATATGGGTCACATGTCAGAAACACAGCTTTCAAATATTGCCTCCTTCCACAGGCTCTGCCTGTGTTGGACTGATTGCTTTCTTCGCGAAGCCTATTTTTAGTTTGATGTAATCCCCCTTGATCAATTTTAGTCTTTATTTCCCATGCTTTGAGAATATTATCCCCTGCTTCCATCACCCACCAAAAAGCTCATGTTTATCCTAATGTGCCAAACTATTTCCACTATGTTATCTTCTAGGTCAGGTTTACTAGGAAGAATTTTGTCTCTGTTGACTTGCGTTTTGAAACTGGTGAGTGATGGGGTCTACTTCCATTCTTCTGCTTGCGGGCATCCAACTTTTTAGCATCATTTGTTGAAAAGTTCGTTCTTTCTTGGTTGCATATTTTCAATCCTTTTTGTCAAAATTTGATTGGCTGGCTGAGCACAGTGGTCCATGCTCATAATTCCAGCATTTGGGAGGCTGAACAGGAAGACTGCTGAGAGTTTCAGGCCAGCCTGGGCTAGTGAGCTAGCCTAAAGAATAGTTTGGCTAAGCGGAATGCTACTGGTTGACAGAGTTGTTCTATAGCACTTTCACTGTCTCACCAGGCCTATAGAGATTCTGACCAGATTGGCTACTGTCTGCCAAGTTTATGTGATATTTGCTTCTTTTTTTTTTTAATGAATCTTCACTTTATCTTTGACCTTTGAACAGTTGATTTCAGTATCTCTTGAGACATTTATTTGACTGCTGGTGATGGGACGATTACCATCTTTACTGTGCATATCTAAGTTGCATGTTAAATATTTCCTGACAATAATTCATTGAGTTCATTGTTTACATCAAGCGTAACTTGGCAGGTTTACTCACCATCTGTGAGGAAATTGCAGGTGAAATTCTGTTTGAAACATAGCTCAGTTATGCCTAAACTCTTTAAAGTATTTAGACTGGAAAAGAATTTAATGGTAGCTTGATTAACAGACGTTTTTGTGCCCCAAATCAAATAGGTTGTGCTAATTAAAGGAGCAATCTAAAACTGAGGCTGGTGTCTGTGCCTGTGATTCCTGTAGTTAGAAGATAGAACTAGGCAGAGTTCAAGGAGTTCAAGGCCAACCTGGGCTACATACAGTCTAAGTCATATGAACCCTGTCTAAAAACAATACACACACACACACATACACATGCACATATGCATACAAGGGTAAAGATCTAGAAATGTCTAGAACCTCAAGAAACAATTAATAAAGGTGAGAAGCTTTAAAGATGTTGAAGCAGCCAGAGTGAAACACAGTGTTGTTGAGGGAAAAATTGATTGAACTGGAGAAATGAAAACACAGCTTCTTCTTTTTGTTTTGGACCTTGGCCCACTCCACCCGTCCTATCCTACCCTACTCTACCCTATCCCACCTCTAGCTGCATTATCAGGCATAAAGAAGTCATGTCATGGACCGTGAAAGCTCAAGTGGTCATTACAGAAAGTAACTCCTGGAAATAAGCCACACAGACACAGGCTCTGGGGACACCAAGAAGCACATTAGAACCTTCTGCATACAGGGGAATAATGCACACAAAAATATGGATGGTACAGTCCATCTGGTCTACCCCCTCTACACATAGAAGATAGAGATGCTGACCTGTAAACTCTGCTGGAAAATGTCCCCCGTTCCAGAAGATATTCTACAGAAAGCATCAGTCAGTCTGTTGGGATTAGATTTATCTGGAATGAAGAACTTTAACCCTCCTGAAACACATGATTTGAATGTCAACTATTAAGATAGAAAAAAAAATAAAGATGACATCTTCTCTGACACACTGTGTCTGTATTAGTGTGTTAGTCTGGAGTTAGTAGGAGGTGGCCTTGCCTCATTATGAGTGACATCTCATATATCTATTTAGCAATAGATATATGAAATTTTTGTTGTCAATTCATGGCTTTTTTTCCAGGTTTTAGTGTTTTTCCCACTATAGAAGAACTTAGTAAATACTTACTGACTAGTCTTAGATCAAAATAATTCCTAAATAATCTAGATTAATTGTAGTTGTTGCATAGCTATGCATTTGCACTTATATTCCGAGATCACCATTTTTAAAATATCCAACAAATCTTAATTTTCAGTGGTTCATTTTGTTGGATTAATTTTTATGGAATGCAAGGTGAAATTATCATTTGCCTTGTCTAGAAAAAAAGCAGACATGTAAATCTTCCAATGGTGCTTGTGTGTGTACTAGAAGGTGTTGCAGTTATCTGTTATGATTTCAGTTTCATAAACATGCATTCTCAAGCTGGCTTAACAAAATCACAAACATACTATTTGCATTAGATGTACAAAACTTCAATTGTAGGGAAAACATTTTAAAATTGGAAAAATTTTTAGCTAGTTTTAGCAATGATTTGTGTGTTTTAGAAGAAATCTTTCCCATTTCTTTCCCCCAACGAAGACACGTAACCTGGGCGTCATAGCTGAGTTTTGAATGTTCAGCCTTCAGGGCATGCTCTAAAAGATACCTTCTTGAGAGGCTTTTACCTGTAAGATGTGACAATTCCTCCAGTCTACCGGCAGCAGAGGAACCCAGGGCGATGGAGTGAATGGTGACCCCGCTGCTCACTGCGCTGGGCAGACAGTTGCTGATGTGTTCATCTGCTCCGCTGGTCACCAATATCATGACAGAGCCGTCGGCTCTCCCATTTCTCTTCTCAAGCACCTGAACAGAGATAGCCAGCGTGGCTTAGGAGGAAAAGTGATTCGAACTGTCTGACTAAACAGAGGAATCCGTGCTCATGTACAATGGCTACCACTGTTGCCTACACCTCTTCGAGGTCCGCAGTGCTCTGTGACCACCTCCAAGTTGGTCGCCACTTCACTCTGTCACAGTGCAGTTATACAGGCTTTGCCTCATGGAAGATATTATGTACATTATGGTATGAGACTGTTGCCTCTAAGACCCAGCCAGTAACCCGTAAGAGGGCTGAGAGCTGTGGCTCTCATCCTTAGCTACATGGTAGAATTAGACAGGAGTGTTTAAATAATTCATTACCAAGTCACACCCCAGATCAATGATATCAGAACCACAAGACATGAAACCCAGGCATCATGGGTTTGTTTTTGTTTGCGTGCCTGAGATTGAACCTAAAGCCACGTGCACACTAAGCTGCACTCTACCACTGAGCCCCATCACCACCTCCTATTTTTCAATCAGGCAATATCAGTGGGCAGCTTAGGTTGAACGACTGTTGGCTAGGGGTGGAAATAGTCCTATGTGGTGTCTTTTTTTCTATCAGATTTAGACGTGTGCACTTCAGATGCTGATTTAGATAAATCCTGTCAGTCCTGAAACTTGTATCTAGGCTTAATTTTGTGTGTGTGTGTGTGCGAATGCCCTGGTTTGTGGGTCCACACATCTGTGTGAGTGTTGATTTATTTAATCTTCTCAGACTCTCTTGATTCTTACATTTGAAATCTGGTGTTTCTGTAGGCAGGAGACCAAAACTGCTAATTTTGCCTTGAAACATACAAAGATAACAATTGCCCCAGCTGGGGCCACTTCAGAATAAGCAGGGACAGTTTGGAGAGACTCTAGATGACACTTCAGTCCCTTAGCCATTGTACTTATATGTACTCATTCTTTTAGCAAGCAGTTCTTAATCAGTTATGACATTGGCTACTTCCTTAAGCCCAGGGAGTGCAATGGGAGTAAAAAATGGGGTCCTGACTTTAGGAATGATGCACCTTTACTCCCTAACAGCCGAGGCTGCTGTGACCATACTATAACGGAGCACCCCTTTTCAAAAACAAAAAGAAAAAACATGCAACAAACAAACAAAAACACGCCCTCCCAAACCTGAGATTCAAAATAAAAAAGAAGGCTGTCATGGCAACTGAAACCCAGGGTACGCTACCTCGAAGCCTCTTTTAACACCTGCACAGGTGTTCGCTTCTTCTTTGGTGGACACACTGGTGGGCAGATAGGAAACCAGCCGCCTCCGGTCATCGTCACTGTTCATTTGCTGCAGCTGGGCTCTGATTTCTCCTTTGCTACCAAAGGTGACAATGCCCACGAACGTGCGCACTTCAACAACTTGCATTAAGTACAACTCAGCTGCTTGCTGCAGTCGAAGGAGTCTGTCCGCCTTTGTCCCCAGGAGAAAAGAACAAAAGAGGAGGGGAGGTGACGTGTGATTGGTTTGACCAACGATGATGATGTGATTCAATTAGTAAAAATATCTGTTGATTTTTCACAGACACTGGACAGTTCTTTGAGTTGTAAAGTGTGGCATAGGACTGGAACATTTTTTTTCCGATTAAGCGTATACTTGACCCACAATTCAGCTAATTGTGTGTTAGTTGTGCAGAAGAAAGTGTGCTGAGAAACAAGTTGTTCACAATTAAGATGGCTTACCCTCCCCATTTCACTCCAGCTCAGAATTTAACAACCTATGACGTCAATTGAGAATATGTTTGTAACTGATTTTTTTTTAAATTCAGTCCAAGTGAGAGGAAACATTGTACAAGGATGTGCTAATAAAGAGGTGTGCTGGTCTGCACACCAGTGTCCGTCCCTCTGCCACGGTGGCCATTGAGGCTAGACTCTAGACTCTGTGCCTATAGAGTCAGCACAATGCTATGTTTGTTGGCTGGATTTGTACATAACAGGCACTCATCAAGCATAGGGATAGTGCTACCAACTAATTCACTCGAGTACTTTATTGGTGGCTCTGAAGGGAGAGAAGAAAAGAGTCTGCTGAATCCCAGCGATCAGCTGCTCCTAGATGGCTGGGACCTCTGTCTTTTGATGTCTGCTTTGTTATCCAGACCTGCCTCTCCCACTTCTCAGGAGCCATTACCAATTAAATGTCCCATCAATACTGCAGACTAGACAACATTTTAATTCGTTGCCCCTAACCCAAATATTACTTCTTTTATAAGCCGGGGAGAAGGTTAGTAGGGAGACATGGACCTTGAATTCGGCCTCGACCTTTCAAAATTATGTGGGCTTAGAAAACATTACTACGGGCTGGAGAGATGGCTCAGAGGTTAAGAGCATTGCCTGCTCTTCCAAAGGTCCTGAGTTCAGTTCCCAGCAGCCACATGGTGGCTCACAACCATCACAACAAATGGGGTCTGGTGCCCTCTCATGGCCTGCAGGCGTACACACAGACAGAATATTGTATACATAATAAATAAATAAATATTTTTTTTTAAAAAGAAAACATTACTACTTTGTGGCTTTGGTCCCTTCTGTCACAGAGCACAGGGACCGAGGGGAACACAACGGCTTTTGTCTTCATCATGGTGGTTGTGCCATCATTCCCAGTCACAGCCCCTAAGAGTGACTGGAGTGTCCGTCAACAGTTTAAGGCAACAGCTTTAAACTGCATGTAAGTTTTAGACAAGGGTCTTGGGAAAGAAAAGGTACAATGAGCAGCAGCACAGAGCTCTAATGGGCTTAGGGATTCTGTGTGGATTTCATTTATCCCACCTTCTCAATATCTGGGCTTCCTTCTGAGTGTGTCCTACCCATTTCCCAAGAAAATAAGGTACCTTGGACTCTTTAAAAACTTGTAGTGTCTTCTCTCATCATACTCTGAATAAAATAGAGCTAAAACCTGATGGGGAATGGAAAGAATGGGCTTTGGTCCTTTGGAATCCGTGTGTTAGGAAAGAATGGGCTTTGGTCCTTTGGAATCCGTGTTACCTCTGCCATCTTCTTGGACACGTCCATCACTAAGCAGATGACTTTGTCCCCAGATTGCATGAGGGAGAACGTGGGAGGAGGTGGAAGCTCAACCCCGTGCATGGGGAGGCTGTGGTGAAAGTCAGAGGAGTCTGCGATTACATCCCAAGTGCTCCTGAGGCTGCACTTTTGGTTCTGCAGGTTTGGGGCTTCGTGGTTGTGGGTACTTGCATTGCAGAATTCAACCACCTGGAAAAGCAAAAATTACCCTGAGTTCCCAGAGCAGGACTCTTCTTCTCATTCTCTGTAGGCCACAGGTTAAAAAAAAAAAAAAAAAAAAAAAGGACAGAGCTTGAAAGCAAGGTCTCATGCGTCCTTATTTTCAAAAGTGACAGCAAGTTTCTGACACCTTTTGTTTGACAGAGTAGCGCCCTGAGGTCACAGGAGCAATCTCTTGTAAAAGCATGTTTGCACTAAGAAAACAGAGCAGACTGTGTCTATATACCTTAGCCTTAAATAGAACAACCCCCCTCCTCCCTTGCATGACACTGTGTTAAAGAAACACCCTAGGTGAAGATGTCAACCTGGCCAGCCCATTCTTTGGAATCCCATTATGTGACACTGTGTCTTTTCTGGGGATCAGTCAACATACAATGATCTAGTGCAAATATTGATCCCTGTGAGGGTAAGAGGAGGGCAAAACAACTTAAACCTACTTCCTGAAACTCTTTTTGCATTTGGAAATTGGACTGGTGATAATTCATTTAAGGACAATCCACCTATGCCATCATTCCCCATTAAAGTTACAGTTTTTGCAATGCGAGGGAATGTCTGTCTATTCCCAGGCCCTATGCAGAACAAAGAAAAGAGCCATGGAGCTTAGAGTTTGAAAGAAATTTATGGGCTCCCTGACTCCATCTCTGATTCCATGGGTAACACCTGCTTAGTTTTTCAGTGGGGTGTGAGTTAGGGGCATACCTGTTCCGCTTCATTGAGTGTTTTTTATCCCAACATTTCATGACTGTACAAGGTGATTTTTAAACTTTTGTGACTGGATATGTTTGAGTAGGTTTTCTTTTCAAGGGGTTACAAAGATGTTATCTAATCACAGATAACACGGACCAACTATCTAGAACTGGGTACGGGACATATATGAAAGATATAATTAAAAAATAGAACAGATAAAGGCAAGAAATACCAACAGTCATGTTCACATTGCAAAGGACTCCTACCGTTGACTAAAACCAGGCTGGAGAAACAAGTTAGTAAAATGAAGGAAGAAAAGATGGGCTCAAGGGAGGGATGGAGGGGGAAAGGGAGTGGATAGAGGTAGAATGTTTCCAATGCAAGCAGGATTGGTCAGCCGTGTAACAGGGAGAAGACTCCAGAAAGACACGTGCCCACCATACCCCTGCCCAGCAGAGAAAAGATCTACAGACTTTCAGGTCTTCAGAAAGTGCAATAAACAAATGAAGCCACACAGGCGGGTCCCATTAAACCTGTGAACTAGCCAACTCCCTCCTTCCTGACTCTATGCTTTCTCCTAGCGCAAGGTTCCGGTGACAGTTTGACTATATGTGTGACATACTTCTTAAAGAAAATGAAGTGGCCAGAGAGAAACACTGTAACTGAATACTCTTAAGTATCAGCTTGAAAATGAAGTTACACATTCATCTTTTGTGAGTTAATATGAAATATTAGTTTATAAGACTTGGGTACAAAGCTGAGGAGCAGTTCACTTCCCTGGGCTAGTTTGCTTGTCTTTGAAGTTCTAGATTTTTTCAAAACAAAGGAAAGAGCCTCGAGGGAGAAAAATATTGCTATTTGCTCCTTCATTCTTGCAAACCTCATACCTCTTCCTCTGAAATGACACAGGAAAGGAATGGCGCCACATGGGCAGCTCATTTTGTGGCCTCAAAGGACCTCTTCTTGGACACTCTCCTGGAAAGTGGATTTTCACTTTTAAAAAACAATCTGTATTTGCTATCATTTGGAGGAGACAGACTTTCTTTTTGTTTTTAAAATGTAGGATAAAGATTAAGTTAACTGTAGACCTCTCAGACTCTATTATAGTGACTCTTATTTGTCCCGATTTTTACACACTTCAAGCAGATCTGTGGTGTGGGAGGTCCTTCTGTCTATGTGTTGCATTTATTGGTTAATGAATAAAGAACTGGCTTGGCCTATAGCATGGGAGAAGGAAGGTGGAGTTAGAGAGAAGCCATGGATCCTTCACCTGAGACAGACGCTGGGAACACTATCCGGTAAGCCACTGCCATGTGGTGATACGCAGATTAATAGAAATGGGTTAGGGGCTGGAGAGATGGCTCAGTGGTTAAGAGCACTGACTGCTCTTCTGAAGGTCCTGAGTTCAATTCCCAGCAACCCACATGGTGGCTCACAACCATCTGTAATGAGACCTGGCGCCCTCTTCTGGCCTGCAGGCATACATGGAGGCTGAACACTGTGTA